GATGTTCCTTTTTAGGCTACTTTATTCTTTCTCGGCCCGTTGTTGTTTGTTCCAACGCTTTTGCGGCCTAACATGGGCAGCGAACCGAAAGTTGGAAAATATGTCATGACCGTCGCATGTTTTCTCGTCTTCGAAGACAACACTGTCCACTCCCCAACGCTTGTTCTACACTCATATAGAAGCACTTTCTGAGGCAGCCAGAGGTACAGGACTCAGAAGTGGGAGAGATCTGGAAATCGAGGAGCAGAAGTGTAAGACGGAAGACAGACGTGTAGTAAAATGTACCGGTACCTATGCCAAAAATCGAAGCCTAGTTAGGGTTACACGTTTGTCGCTTGGGCGTGGCGGGATGCCCGCTTCTTTCCACAGAAATTCCAAGGGTGTTGTCTTCCACATTGGCAGAATCATCTTGCACGCGAGATTCAGCACGCGTTATATTTTTTCTAGGTTAGTTTTCGAGATGTGGTTCCTTTTGAAGCGTGAATTGCCTGTATCCAAGCCGGGCAGCCAGGCATCTAACCCATGGAACAAGGTCGGCATAGCCACAGCCCATGCAGCTCGACGGGCTGCCGTTGCTGCCATGCCTCGTACGGTATTGTTCATGCCTCGGAGGTAGTTGATCACTCTGCGAGCCTTCTGCGTTCACTCATCAATATGATGGTTGAAGGTGAGTTACTTGTCTAGCCAGATGCCGAGCCACCGCATGGATGGCGCTGCCCGTATCTCTTTGTCGCCGTGGTGAATGATGGGAGATTGGTCGTGATCTGCCTTGCGTCTGGAAAAATGCATGACTTCTGTCTTTTCTGGGTCAAAGTGGATTGCTTCGCCTCTTCCCCACGATTCCATGGCTGCGATGGCTTCGTTCGCTTGCCTCGCTGTGTCCTCCAGCGAGTCTCCGATAAAGAGCATCGCTGTGTCGTCTGCGTATCCGTATCTCTGGGCAGCGCCGGAGAGGAAGTAGATCGCCACCGTAATCAAGATATAGATTACCGTGGAGCTGGGGGAACCCTGAGGCAGGCCGCATCGTAGTCGCGCGCTTGGTGTGGTCGCGTTTTGGAACCGCACGCTGGCTAACCTATCGAGCAGGAAGCTGGCTATCCATCGAATCAAGAAGTCCGGCCATCCCTGTCGCCGTAGGCAAAGGATCATGCGATTGCGAAGGATGGCATCGAAAGCACCCATGACGTCTTCCGTGACTTAAGTTGCCATCTGGCCGGCTGCGAGTGCTTTCACGATGTCGTAGATCAAGGAGACCACGATGTCTATGGCGGAGCGCTTTGGCAGCGCACCAGTCTGGTTTGGATAAAGGATGCCATGTTTGATGGCGGCATGTGCCAGTTTTTTTGCGATCACCCGTTCTAAGCCTTTTCTGAGGCAGGAAAGCAGTGATATCGGTCGCCACGCGGACACCTTACTGAGATCCCGCTTGTTGAGCTTCGGGATCATGACAACCTCAGCAGTCTTGAAGACGCTGGGATGATGACCGAGTCGTAGGCAAGCATTGTATAGTGTTGTGACGGGTCGGGCAATATGTGGCCAGGCGGCCTGAAGCATCCTGGTCGTTATTCCGTCTGAGCCGGGCGTTGTGTTCCCGGTGTGTAAGACAGCCTTCTCAACCTCCTTGGTCGAAATGATTCTCGCGAATGGGATCTCTTTAGGGGGACTGACAGCTGGTTGCCATCCGTTGGCGATGTCGTCTGACGCGTCGCGGCGTTCCAGTTTCTCTTTCCGTAGCGCCATGGCCTTCTCTACGTCAGTAGAGTACGTCATGTCGCCCACCTGGAGCGGCGGGGGCTGAAGACGCTGTCTCGGCTTCATCCACCTGGTAAGTTTATAAACGCCTTCCGCCGTAGTCACTTCGTTGATTGTATTGCGCCAGAACTTCTGTCTTGTGCGTTTTAGGATGCGGCAGAATTTGACTCTGGACCTTTGCACTTCCTCTCCTCTTCGTAGATGCGTCGTGTAATGCGGAAGGTCGTCGTGTGCGTCTTTGCACTCCTGGTTCCACCATGGAGAGCTTCGTGCGCGGCGACCGCGACTGACCCTGCCACATGCCCTGGCAGAGTTCTGGAGGATCTCTTGAAGCCGTCTGGCCATGTCCTCGATCTGAGCTTCTGAGTCTATGTTGGCGGGTAGTGACTTCACCGCCATGCCTACATGGTCTCCAAAAGCTTTGATTTCGTCTGGCGTTGTTACTCTGACCTTTCCTAGTATAGTCTAGGCTGGCTCCCTGTTTGGGATCTCAATACCAATGGTGTAGTGAAGGGATCCTGTCGTGAGGTGAACTTCCACCGTGGCAGACGCTTCTGGTATGTTTGAGAAGACTAGGTCGATTGTGCTGCTTCTTGCTCTGCTTTTGGCCATGGTTGTTGCCTCGTCAGGCTCGTTCAGCAGGTGTAGGTCATGTCTTTCCGTCCATTCGTGAATGCGATTCCCGTCCTGCGAGGCTGGTCGGTCAGCCTGCCAGGAGGTGTGGAAGGCGTTCATGTCGCCGGCGACAATGCAGTTCTCCGGCGGAGCCCATTCTTCGAGGACTTTCAGTGTGCTCTCCACCTCCGGCCTGTTGTAGAGGTTGAGGATCGTGATTCCGTTCACTCTAAACCAGAGTAGGTCTCGGTGTTTTGCTGCTGTGATCTGTTCAGCTTGGATCTTGCGATCGATTTTGACGTAGGTCATCACGCGTGGGCGTGTGTCGTTGTTGTGCCAGAAATCGACCGGGCTAAAACAAAGAAAGTCCGGGTGATACTGAGTACGGCAGAGCACTTTCTTCTTGTTGCAGGACGTGTTGGGTTCTTGTAGGATCACCACGTTGTAGCCCTCCAGGAATGCATGCTGGAGGGCGGCGCTGTGTGCTTCTTTTCCCTTATCCACGTTTGCCTGAAAGATTATGATTGTCACTGGTTGGGGTCCGTTTCGTCTTTTGTTACTCATCTGTAGACCGAGTTCTCATTCGTCGTTTCGGTGGCGACTGGTCTCGCAGTCGAGCCTCCCACGGCGGGCTGCTCGGGGGAGAGTGGCGAGGTAGTGTCCGAACGAGGATCTCTTGTTCTGTCGGAGCATCACTGATGGCGCCTTGGTCTCCAGGTTGTACCGGAAGTACGGTGCATGCGAAAAGCGGCGGCTACTCGGCCACCGCTGGACCAGCGTCGCCTGCGCCAGCAAGTATACCGGGCAAGTTGCGCTACATGATGAATGGGAAAGGTTGTTGCCTTTGCCATACTATCCTTGGTATTCAGTATTGATTGGCTGTCCATTCCTTGTCTGACGCTGCCGGCGGCTTTGCCTCTCAGTCTGCACGACTGCACCCGGGATGCACCTGTGATCCCCAAGTGCGCCGTGATCAATAGGAATCCACCCTGCATTTAACTTTCATCTTGCTGATGCACTGTAGCATAGCCCCTCAGAGCCAGCGCAGCGATACGCAGACCTTTGTGTCCGTGGTGCTCATGGTGTACCTTTGTGCGCTTCGGAATCGCGGCCTTACTGATAGAAGCAGAGCCTTATGTATGGTCCATAATATCGAAAAAGTTCTGTGTCTTCGTCGTTTCATTGATGCTTTTCTTCCGAGCGGCGATGGGACGTGATGAATGTGATGCCTCTCGCACCGCTACGGCGCCTTTTATGTACGAACAAAGCCACAACCAAGATTTGTAGCGTCTGCAGTCAAGTTTAATTTAAAGTAAAGCCCATTATAGTTCTAGTCCGTCAAGTGCCTGCCGTGATTGAATTATTGCTCTGCTTTGTCATCGAATAATTAGTCATCGCGACGCTGTAAGCAAACTCACGAATGAAGGTCCGGCTTCTCCCCTTCATCCCTCCCTCTAATTCCTCTATGGACTAATCTGGAGCCTGCCTCTCTACGATGGAAACTTCAAAGAAATTCCAGCACATTTTTTCCGAGTGGACTATGGCCATTCAGAATGGCGACTGGCACGGTGCGGAGGCTTTTTTGGCTGCCCACGTCATCGTGAATCGCAGCAGCATGACGGCGCATGCCTACGTACAGAAACTCCAAAAAGATAAATTTTAAACTGCGCGCCTCGATTTGTGTATATTTGACGACAGTTCGGCCGACATTGCAGCACGCTATACGTTCCCCAGCTCGCCTGAGCGGCTCAATCAAGGCGAAGAGTGGACCGAGCAGACGCTATTCACCATCGTCGGCGACAGGATCTCCGTTATCGAAACTCTCGCAGACGCAAACAATTGTCCGGACCTGGGGTCGGATGAAGAGTCTAAAGTGAGCCTCCGGGGAGTCTAAATTGAGCCTCCGGACCGGGAAAGCTGAGAGTCCCGGCCTGCGCAAGTTCTACACCGAGTACATCGACTCAATCAATGCGCTCACTATGCGTGAACATTTTGATGAGTTTTGTCAGGATATGGTAACGCACAACTACATTAGGTACGGTCGAGACGAGTATAGAGAAATGATAGAGTCTAGTTTCAAGGAAATCTCAGGACTCCATTTCACAATCGAGCGGCTCATTGTCAACGAGAAGGATCAGCAGATAGCGGCGCGTCTTGGCTTCACTGGTGTGCCCACCAAAGAATTCCGAGGGATCGCGCCTACAGGAAATGGTGCGGTGTTCAGTGAGCATGCCTTTTATCAGCTAGAGCAGGGCCGAATCGACCAAGTTTGGTCGCTGCTGGATCTGGCGTCGTACCGGGCGTCCATTGCATCCTGATGGCATCTCGATACTTCAGGAATGACCTCAATATTTGTCATCCGATCGATTAATTAAAGCTATATTTCTTTGGTCTATATTGACACTCACATCAATCCTTGTGTTGAGCACGATGTAGTACGCAGTGCCCCGTAGCCATTCACGATGATGGAACTGAGAAAGTACGATCGCGTGAGGAAGGAATTTACCCCAGTAGTAGGTAGAATATCGTGTATGGAAGACTATATCTTCAACGTATATATACATATTTATATATACAGTTTTCAGGACCATCGTGCACTTGCTTAACTGAGCTGCTTCAGCACAAATTTAGTTCCCATGTTTTGCACTCCAGCATCTCCAGGATAGGCCAGATGTTCCTTCGTAATGGTAGTGCCGTTTCCAGAATCGCGGTCGCATACGGAGTCGCCCTGATGCGAATATTAGTCGTGGGTTCGTTCGGCCACGATGGCAGCATAATACTTACAACGTTGCAGACATCCAGCGTCTTAGAAACCCAGTTTTGCGGAATACCGTTGCCATCTTCGTATAGGAGACCTGCTGTATCTTTTGTCTTGTCGCCGCCTTGCATGTCCACGTTGCAAGCAAGACCCGGCTCGTGCCTTGTGTCGCCAATAAGGAAAACGCCCTTGACAGCATCAAAGCTGGCGCCCGTGAGCTGGCGCAGAGCATCGACGACGACGGTCGCTCCTTGGGAGTATCCCTCGAGAATGATGCATTCGGATGCGTCCTGACCGAGGATTTTGCCGACTTGGTTGATCAACTGAAGCAAATCATTAGTTTCGCAGGTCTGCAGCGGAACTTTAAACTGACTTACATCCTTGGTTCCCGGTTTGCTGTTTTGATCCCAAGCCGCCTCATAAACGACATTATACTAGGCGATGTAAGTTTCATCTGCTCGTTTTGAAAGAGGCCCGCTACATACAATCTTTCCGCCACTACGCTCAGACATGACGTTCTTGTTCATAGTCAGGAAGCCGACCGATTCGCCCTGAGGCTCAGTGGTGCCGCGTGCGTTGATTATAGCTTTCCACTTCGTTAGCTAAAACCAGATTGTCTCATGAGCATTGATTGGTCCCTACTGTAAGAAGAACATGGCGAGCTCGTGGCTGGGGGTGCGCCACACGCATCAATTGCGGCTGCCGAAGCAGTCGAGGCCAGGGCAAGCGCAGCGGCGAGAGAAGCAAGCATCTTTGCAAAGAGAACTTGGCAATTACACGAAAGAAAGACAGACACAGGAAAGACTACATATATCCACACGAGAACGGGCAATGGCCGTATTTAAGCCGCAAGGCGCAGCCGAGGTTTGGTCCTCGGTTTGCGGGGTATGGCAATGCGCATCACTGCGGCGCGCAGTGTTAGCGCAATTTGCGCTTCGTGGAGTGGGTAAATGTTACGGCGGTGGCGTGGTTGAAGCTTCGAATCGGCTTCACTTTTACTGGTCTGTGAGATTATCAGTTGGAGCAGCACGGTATCAAGATCCCATATCTCTGCATTCAAAGTCATCCGGTAGTTGTGCCGCATTTGAAAACTCTCAAAATCGTCACAGAAGTTGTCAAATACATGAATGCAAATACCAAGATGCTCCGCGGAAGGGTGGCGATGCGAGGATCACTGGTTTAGTTGCCTACCGGGCCTACCTGCCCCATTCAGGCCGCTGCACCCCGGAACTTGGACAGCGAAATCGCGGAGAAGAAATAAATTAGTTAGCGGATACTGCTAGCGCAACCACGGACAGCCACGCAATTATTGGTAGCTAGCTGTCCGACCGTACGAGGCCGAAGCACTCGGGTCGTTGAGCGGCCGGGTTGCCAATCTGACCCTAGTCCCAATATTGGCGTTGTCTACCCGGCGAAAGGAACACAAAGTCCGCATCGCATTTCGGCGGAGCTTTGGGTGATGAACTGGTGCTCCATTCCGAATGGCAATTTCCACAAAGCTGGGCACCTTGTTCGCGGTGTCGCTACCGGGATTTTACTGGTGTTCGGGATGGGATGTGGCGCACGGAAGAAGCAGTTGACGACGGCGGGGAATACAGGTGACAGCGTTGAGAAACGGGGAATTGTCCCGGGGGCTTTTGTTACCCTGTCTTTTCAACCAGTTTCAGGCTCGTGCCTGAATCCTACCTACAAGTAAACTCTTGGCTGGCTTTTCGTCAGTCGCCAATGCTAGCCTCGGCGCTAATAATAGAACGCAACGTAAATTAGTCAACACTGAGCGCGCTATATCACAGCGAGCTACAGATAGGGAAGCTAGGTAGGCTCGCAAACTGAACTGTTGCTGATGACACATGGTACGTCGGCCTTTGACTGCTCGAGGCCCTGGTCTGATGTTGACAGCCGAAGGTGTCCAAGAAGACCGCGTTTCGGATCCTTACCGAAAAGGTCGGATGATGTCGGAACGATTGACCGAAGAGAGTCAGTTCTGTTCATGAAACTCGACATGTGTATATCTACAAAAAAAGTC